ATGTTTATTCAGAGAAAGTACGTTTTTGTGTCTGATTTCGTAACTTAATTAATAGTTAGCACTAATTAATTAGCATATTTGAGGTCACCCCCAGGAACCATTAAGATTGACACTTAGTTCGTGAAAATCGGATCATTAGAACGAAAGTTATTCAGGGTGATATCTTTTTTTTTTTGCGGACTGTACTTTGCTTATATTTAAATATCTAAACACAAAAAGTAAAATATTTGTTACTTGTTATTTAATTAAAGAAATAATACTAATAGTTCCAAAAAAAATTTCCATTTAGTATGCAGAGTATATATTGCTGTAGAATATACAATATTTATCAACATTAATAGGAAAAGTGTATTCACTAGTATATTATAACTGAACTAATAGTGAGTAGGATCTTTCTTAAGTTGCCAACACTTAGCATTTTTAAGGCGTAATATTAGGACTTGCATACATTTATTTAAATTGTGTGTTAAGGCGCTGGCAAAAAAAAAACAACAATATAAATAAACTTTGTTAAACCAAGAAAGAAATAATCAAGTATTCATTTTGCTATCTGTTTAAATATAAGAAAAACCTCTCCCACAAAAATTAAGAGCTTCTCAGCTTCAGAATTCTTGGAGCATGAGAAGTATCAAGACACAAAAAAGCCAAATTAAAGAGTTACTACTATATCTTAAAATATGCTGGCAAATTTACATCAATATGCTATTTAAGTATTAATTGGGTTGCATGCTTGCTTTTATCAATTGTTTTTATGCTTCTAAACTATATTTAGAATAGAAAATTTAAAAAGAAATAGCAGACCTGTCAATCAGAAATTCATAAAATCTGAGATTCCTTGTGATCATTACATAGCATAATAAGCAAAATTATAAAAAAATTCTTCCAAAAACAACTCCTTTTGGCTTGCCTACATATTGTCCACAAAAAAGTACACGACTGGGTTTGGACTTTCATTTTCATGGCTGAATATTCTCTCACAGCTGACATTGGTTAAGAGAAATGGTCACTACCATTGCCCACCCAATGTGGCAATATTATTTTTAGCTTTCTCATCTGATGACTTTACACCATTGTGTATTTATCCAATTAAACAAAGTGGATAAATTCAGGAATATATTTGCATAGTAAAGCTCAAAATGGAGTTTATAGAACAGTAGGTAACGAGCTCTTGACATCTTTTCCTAATTTAAGAGTGGTAAAAAGAATACATATCTAGGCACAACTATGCCTCTAAATTATCCCACCTCAGAAAAGAAATCATAATGAATATAATTATTAAATCTTCTTTTAATTTTCTATGTAGATCTTTTTTTTAATGCTCCTCTACAAGTTTGAAGTAAAATTATTAGCTTTTGATAGTTAATAATGAATTTAGATATAAGTATATAAGCAGCTTAAAGTATCCTTTAAGTAATGAGCATATAAAGATAAATAATATATGTTTAACTTGCTTTGAAAACTAAAATAATTACCATAATCTTAATGTATGTCTCTAAAAATTAACTAAACATTTTAATTTAAAAAGAGAAAATCGGTGCTTTTCAACACACTTATGCTTTACCCATGGGCTCACTTTTAACCCTACGCTGAGTAATATAGTATGAAACTGAACGAGTATGAAAGTTAATAAAAGGGGAGCAGAAGAATAGCCAAGGACCAGTTTTTGGGCACCATCAAGGTCAAAATAAAAAATAATAAATAAATAAAAAACATGCTTTTTTAAACATGCACCTGATGGAGGATTAATGGAAATTATAATTACTTGGAACTTATCAAGAAGCATATATTGAATGAATATAAGAAATAATATAAGAAAACTATGGTAATGATAGTTTTCTAATATAGAATATAAGAAAACTATCATTACCATACATAGCTCTCATACATACAACTCTTAAAATATAAGGAACAATAAGAATTAAATAAAAAAAATTTTTAATACAGAAATATCTATACCTTGCTCAGCAAAAGAAAGTAGGCTAAAGAAGGTCATTAGATATCGTTCCCCTAGAAATAGAATATTAAAGGGTTGGTTCTAATTTTTCACAGCATCAGTTAATATCACAGCACTATATAACTTTTTATCATCAAACATAAAAATTAAAAAGAAAAAAAGCTAAATAAGATTTTCATTTTTTAAATTCTTATATAATATTGATAAGTTATTAATACAGTCATAATTACTTTTTAAGACAGTTTTAAGTACACAAATATATTCAAAATAAGATACTCTGATTGAGCCAAAGAATTTTTTTTTCTCAAAATGCCACAAAATTTCTTCATAAAAAAAATTAAAAACTTTATTTGAAGTTAATTTTAAAACCAGAATTAGTCTCTAATATTCGCTTATCAGGTACTTAATATAATTTATCATATCTTAACTTAAGTTAACATCCTTTTAGTAATAGTAAGTAAAACAATAATGCATTGGAAAACAGATATTTTGATAACATAAACATACCTGCCAGCTTTTAATCCCTTCAAAGATGATTTTCGATAGTGGTAGTAAAATAGAATTTGAATTACAATTTTAGGCAGAAACATACGTTTTATTTTGAAAATGCCTATCGGGACAACCACAACAGTATTACACATTAATATAATGTTTGATTTCTTAAGCAATAGGGGTGGTCAAAAAGATTATAAATTAAGTTTATAAATGCAAGGAATATATAGAAAGCATACATTTTACTACCGCTTTAAATATAAAAATAAATTTTTACGTCAAATGTGTAAAAGTTGGCAGGTATGCATAAAGACTGTGTTACTTAAAGAAAATCATAAAAAGGAAAATAAATTTTTTTTTCACTAAGCTCATTTACTTAACTTCTCTGGCTTTATGGTAATCAATATATGGGAAGAAAAGGCAGGCAATATAGTTATAAATATCCAGTTTTTCTAATTATAAAGTTGTGACAGAAAATCTGAAATTCCAACTTTACTTATTATTTTAATAAAGATATAATTTAAATAATTGCTGATCAATCATGATTTTTTAAAGGGAAATTTATAAAATTATTTTTAGTTACACTTAAAAGGAAGAACTTTGGTTCAATAAAATTACCTACCTATCCTTATTGCCAGAGCTGGCTTTTGTTTTATTCTTATTAATTTGTAGACTAATTTGATTTGCATATTTATAAAATATTTCAGCTTTCTTTTCAATACCTAGATGAAATGAAGACAACGTCAACTGCATAAACAAGATCTTCTAGGGTGGTGTTAAAATTACATCTAATCCCACTTTTTTTTCAATTTTGTTTATGCTCTTTATAATCCAATCAATGGCAATTATGAATAAAAATCAAGACAATACATATCCTGTTCTTACTCCTGTTTGAACACCAAGGGAGTCTGTCACTTACCTCAATGCATGCTTGATTTCAATCATTAAGGCTTTTAAAGATATTGATAAATTGTTTTGGAATTTTGTAGTTTTTCAATATTTTCCACAGCTTGTCCTGATCGATTGAAGTCAATAAAATTTAGATATTAAGATGCATTCCTCTCCAAGCTATTCAATTATATTCCCAAGAACAAAATTTGCTTTGCTGTGCAGTTTTAAAGAATGGAAACCAGCTTATTCTGCTTGCAAGTATACCTCGATTCCAGTCAATAAAATTAAGCATTCATCAATTGTGTCATTTACGAGAGTGGGAAATAAACCACAGTAAGTCACTAGGGAAAACAAGTAATCAAAAAAGAATAAATCGTTTAGTCTCTCTAGTAAGCAATGTTTTTAAACAATGAATAAAAATTTACATTACAAAAATAAAGGGATAAAATCAGTTTTTCTTTTTTGGGAGTCCCTCTCTCAAAGGGGAGGCAAAAAAGGTTATTTCTTTATCTCCACATAAATTTTTGTGAAAAAGATCCTTACAATTAGTTTACTCGTCAAACTAAAACAAAGTCATTTATAGAAATACAATACAATGAGAGCTGCAAATACTGTTGCAAGAAAGAAAATGAGGCTGATTAATTAGAAATAAACAACAATAAATTTTATTTTGGTAAATAATTTAAAAAATTTACAACGTACCCAATGTCTATAAAATTCAGACTAATAGAAGAGAAGAAAAAAAATAAAAGTTTACCTTCAGTAAGAAGTTGTTTTAGTAAAGTTTGTTTAAAAAAGCTCCAAACTAGCTTTAAATCTTCAAGATGAACAAACTAAAAATTAAACATAAGTTTTATAATATTAAATAAATTGAAATATATATATAATATAATGTGCAAGAAACAAGAAACATTCTATTTATTACTTAAAAGAAACATCACACCAATTTAAATAAAGAGCAGAGTAAATGAAAATTTGAAGTGACATTTTAGAGTAAATTAGTTTTAAAGTTTGTGCATTGGTAGTTGGGAATAAAAATTGCACTTTGTCTTAATTTCTTGTCCGAAGGCTTTCAATTTCTAACACTCATTTAAATTGATTACCTCATATCATGTGTGGTGTTTCATTTAGTATTAAAAGACTTCTCTTCAATTGGTAGCAAATACACTTGCAACTTTCTTTTATTCCTGAAACACTCAAAAATTGTTATTTAAAGCCTCTACCAATTGAGATAAAATTAATTGACTTAAAAAAACAAAACAATAACTGTTGAATAGTCAAACTAATATTAAACAAAGTTCTTTCCCCCCAAAATCTCATTTTTTTAAAAAATGTCATTTAGAGCCTTTACCTACAACACTTTTCAATTAACTACTATGTAATATCTATAATTTTATTTAAAATAAAGAAAACAAAGCACTTAACTATTTTAAATAGGTAATACAATAATATTATCAAACACGTTCAATATTTATGATAGATTTAAAAGGCAAATTCTAGTTTTTAAAAAGTGATGACTTTTAGAAAACAATTTAATTTATAATTAGCATCTATAAAAATATCAAGATTCTTATTGCTTGCATAAATACGATAGTTTATATTATATAATCATAAGTCGTGAATAAGTTTAAAAATAAATACAGAATGTTTGAAGGAAAAAAAATACATTAGTATGAACTTGTATATTGTTAAACTTTTTAATTAGAGCAAAATAATAAATTTCCTGTTAAACAAAATACACGTTGGTTTGGGAGCCTTCCTTCACAAAATATTATTTCACAAATATTTTAATAATAATCTTTTTTTTGACAAACAAATATAGCTAATAAATTTAGTTTTTATGTAACAATAAAATTTTTTTTTAATGAGAAATACAAATTCAATCACCGGTCTAAAAATGCTAGATCATTTTTATTAGAATTCAAATCAAAAATCCTTATTTTAAAGTATATTTGTACATTTTGTTATTATTATTAAAGAACATTTGTTCAATTTGATTAATAGAATCTTAAAGTTTAATAAATTACTGTTCTCTTTTAATCTTGTTTGATTTTTGGTGTCCTCTGTTTAGCAGCTGAAATAAGAGAACTTTACCAAACACTAAAGATATTTAAATCCACCGTGAAAAAATGTGTTTTTCCTTAAACAATTAAATTTATGCAAGATACATAAAAAATAAAGTTTATTTATATGAACTACTGAATTTAACTATTTACTGATGTATTTTGTTGGTACTTCTTTAGGATACGAGGCTGAGAGTCTCTTTAGGACCACAAAGGGTCAAACAAACAAACAAAAAAACTTTTTTTAAGACACATAGTCCACTATGCATGATTGATGTCTGACTCACTTTTAATCACTTAACAAGAGTACATAATATAAAAATTTCCTTGTTGTCCTGCCTAGATTCCCTTTAGAGAAACAGTATAAAAATCTGTTAGTTGTGCGAGAAAGTAATCAGGTTTTACAAGTCAGTTCAAGAATTAAAAAAATATAATTGCTTATTCTCCAGAGAAAGGTACACTTTTATGAAAAAATTCAAATGTTTATGCGACTGGATAGAACAAATGTAATAACTTTAGAAATAAAATTATGTTTTAAAAATGCAATGATTGGTAATAAGACAATAAAAACACTTACTGTCATAGTTAGTTTCGGAAAAGTATCTGCAATGGAATTAATCAGCAAATCATGATTAGATTCATTTGTTTTGAGATAGTAGGTGAAATAACCATAGTAGCTACATGTATACACAATGGAACTCAGTATCTAAAAGAAATTACATGTGAGACTTCTTAAATAAAAACCATAATCATTAATAATAAGAACAACTCTCACATTAAAAAAGATTTCAATGAACTAGGAAAATATCTAACATTTAAACAAATTATGTAAACTAAAAATATTAATGAGATTTTAAGCAAATATATTCTTTAGATAAAAAACTGATGTTTAAGTACTGACAAATTCTTTTTTTCTTTTAATTGTAATCATCAATGATTTGAGTAACTAAAAAGTAAGAATGACTCAATATTATTTCTAATTGCAATTTTCCTTTAAAACCAGGTTTGGAACAAAGAGTAAATAAAGATACCAACTGTACCCAAATTATACTTTAACAGAAAAAATTAATTTGAACTGAATAGTAAGAAAAACACCTTACAATAAAAAATAAATCATTAGGGTTTGAAAAAAAAAGTGGAAAGGGTAAAATATTTTGAGAAATATGTACAGGATAAAATCTAAAATTTAAGTGAAACATTTTTAAGAAAAGCATAAATGACACCCAACTCCATAAATTATTTTAAAGGGAAATATCTCGATAAATGCATGTCTGATCAGAAAAATAAAAATGTTTGATAATTTTTTTTTGCTCCAGTCTAGTGAGACCAAACATCTCTCTCCCTTTGAAAATCAATTTTATAATTACTGCATCATTTGTGAACCCCACCCAAAAGCTTGAAAGGCAAAGTTGACTTCTTTTATCTACAGAATCCAAATCTACAATAATAATTATAGTTTCCTTCGTAAGATTTTGAAATTAGAACAAACCTTAGAATTCGGTGCCATTAAAAGCCTCTTTTCAAAATACTTCACAAGCATATATTTGGATTTATAATATTGTAATATTTAACCATTTCTACACTTTTTTGACATCCTGCAAAGTAAGAAATCATTCAGCCATAAGTATACAGATGAGGGTTGGTATTTTGACATTAAAAATTTGTTTTTGAAATTACAAATATCAAAAAATGGCTTAAATAGTAAATTTTTTTTTATTTAATTGTCAAAAAAACTCAGGACAAAGGTAGGAACTCTTTAAAAAGAATAAGATGGGTAATTTAAAAGTAAAAAAAATAAATAAATAAAATAAAAAACTTAATGTTATATTTTAATAAACATTTTAAATATTTGAACTACATTTAAATTTAATTATTTGAACTATATTATTAATATTTGAACTATATTTAAAAATTCACTGTTACTTTAAATTCAATCTGGTTAATTTAATATGGATTTAGTTTTAAAAAAAACAATAGAAGATTATAGAAATATGTCTAAAATTTTGCATAAACAATAGGCATAAATGAAAAAAAGAAAAAAGTCAGAAAACTGATGAAGTAAAAAATTTCAGCCATGTAATATTGCACACGTGCAATTTAACATAACAGAAAATTGCAAGTGTGTTTAATATTTATACTCACTTTTAACTATTTAACATAAACTCAAAAAGTCAAATTAAGTGATTGTCTTTAAAAAAAAAAAAAAAGAAAAAAAACTTTGTTTTCAAATTGCAACATTATACCAATTTAATCATGTACAATTTAGATGTGCTTATAAAAATTAAACATGCATAAAATTAATCTCAACATGATTAAAATCAGGTAAATAAAAAGTGTTAAAACTTCAATACACAGGAATAATATTGATAGTTATACTTAACAGTTTGAAAAAAAATTAAATTTTCTAAGGTAAGATTATTCTTTAAGCAATTTATTGACGGAAAAAAAAAATGTTTTACCTTATTGTTTAATTGCAAGATGTCCATATAATTAAGTGGAAAAATGTTACATTTCAGATTTTTAATGGTATTTGACAGACTATATTTAGGTATTTGATAAAAGGTTTTGCTATGACATTTTCATCTGTAGTTAAAATTGTTACATAAAGTACATATAAAAAGTAAGGCTTACTGTCAAGCCAGGTAAAGATAGATAGCTTTATTATTAAACTTATAACTAAAGATAGTCAAAAAGTATCACTTTTTTTTTTGTCTTAAACTTGATTAAAATAATAAGTTAATACAGCAGACATATAAAATACTAAATCGAAAACTAAATCTCTTTAATTATTGTCAAATAGTAATAAAATTATTGATCATTATGATAATTCTTTGCTGACAGTAATTGAAGAATAAAAAGATTAAAGAGTGAAATAAAGAAGCCTACATAGTTTATATGTTAAATCCTGTAGTATCATATGGGATTAGAGTTTAATGGCACATGTTCAAGGAAATCAGTTAAGTTACACCAAGCAAATGAAGCTAAAGACTATGTAAGACATAAAATCAAAAGGAAAAAGGGAGTAGCAAACAAAATAAAATAAATTTGGATTGCTTTGTAAGTCTTTATTTGAAAGCAAGCATTCTTAAGAGCAGAGTTTATATAGATGATGAGTATAGTATAAATTTGACACTAATTTCTACATAAGTTAAGTATTTGTTTTTTTTTTCCAGAATAAATTAGATAAAAGCAATGGTTGAAGATTAAGATAACTTGTTATAACTCATACTATTTGATACTAACTCTAATTAATAAGTTATTTTGATGTTAATTATTTAAGACATACATGTCGTCAAATATATTTGAAAATATGAAATGAAAACACTAAAATATATAAAATAAGTAAATATAGTATAAAACAAAAGAGCGTATATATATACATAAGGTTCACACCAGCAATTATGATTTGTTTTTGTTGGTCGGTCCACAAAAGTTATTATTCATTGCAGTTATTGATAGATTTCCACATGGTTTTTCAAACCAAGACAATTATTTTTATTAGAAAGTATTTTGATTTACTTAGTTTTTTATCCCTTTACCGGCACTTATTGCTATATTTCTAAGTAGTTTCAAAATTCTGATAATTTTTGATGTACTTGATTTGTAACGATTTTATTGTAAACTCAAGTGGTCTTGTTGATCGCTTTTACATCAGTCTTTTACTACCCATTTCTATGACATTTTTAAAATTCTAATATCATAATTTTTTAAAAATGATTTATAAACAACACACAAATGTGAATCTTGACTTACTCATTAAGGTAGTCACTTTTTAAGGTGTTTGATGCATGATGATTTTTTTAAACTCTTTCGTCAGTATTTTTCCATTTTTTAGGCACTTGTTAGATGATTTTTACAAGTGATTTTTCTTGATTTTTTGGCAGCATTCAACATACTTTTTTGGTAGCATTACTATGGGTTTAATCATAAATAATATTATTTTGATTTTTTATGACAATGATATGGATGTCATAATATGCTAATAATTCAAATCATATGCATGAACAACATTCATCATTCATGCGTATAAGTTTGGTGACATTTGTTAATAACCTGGCAACCATGCTGGTGTGATCTCAACAACTGTATAGATATGAAACATTCAATGACATGAATGAAAGCAATTTTATGGTCAAAAGAGGAGAAAGAAGAATCTATATATATATTTTTTTTAAATGATCAAATAAATAAGTGGTGGTTAACAAGAACGAAGTTAAAATTACAAAGTATCAATGTTATTTTAAAAACTAAATTACAAATTATTTTATTTACAAAAATCAAAATACATTACCTGACTGAAACAAAAACAATACATAGCAGAATGAGGCCATCGACTTAGCAAAACAACCATGCAGAAACTTCGAATTGTTAACATTAACCCTTCATTGACAACCTTAAAAAAAGAACTTAATCTAAGCAACTTATAATGCTCAAATGTAATTAAAATATAAAATAACAATCAATAAAAAAATATTTATGAATAAAAAAATGCTAAAATGTTGCAGTTATTTGATCAAAAAAATCACGTAAATAAATTTGTAGCAGAGAATTAGAAATAAAAAATAATAATATTTAATAGAAAGTTGAATTAAACTGCAACTCAGTGCCAAATAAACTTAATGCTAAAAAAGTAATCCTACACTTTAAATGAACATTTTCTTTTAAATCACATTTTAGGTCAACTATTCTCTGACACATAAAAGAAAATTAGTTATTTGTACGCAAGTTAATTTTGCTTAAACTGAGTCAGAATTTCATTTAAAAAAATACTTTTTAAGGAATTTTTTTAAGACAACAAATGCAAGTTCAACTTCTAAAAAAAAGCACAACGAAGAATAATGAGTACAAAATTCTAAAAAGATAACTTTAAAAAAATAGTAATAATTTCTGAAAATTAGAGAATTCCTTAACATCTAAAATTTGTTTTAGTTATAAATGTTTAATATGAAAAATATAATATTGTTACAAAAATACACGTTCTTGATTTAAATTTTTGAACATTTGTCTCAAAATTTTTTAGCCTTTTACCTTGCTATTTGATTGCTTAGCAAACAGGTTTTCAAACATTATGTTCAATAGGCATGCATTCTAAGGATGATAGATTAATTTTTGACAAAGCATTCAATAATAATAGTTACATTTTCTCGCATTTAGGTTATGTATTTCCTGAACATAAAATTAACAGTTATTACAGAAAGTTGATTTTGTAAGTGAAAGTAGACAACTTTTGAACTTATTTAAGATAATGTGGGTAAGTTTATGAAATTTAATAATATTTATTTATTAAATTAAACTTTTTGTAACTCATTAACTTACTTTCAATTTTATAAAATGGCAACTTTGACTAAAGACATAAATGGGTTCTGCAAGACTTTCAATGAGGACTGATAATATCACAATGTTTACACCACTTGTGTAATCAGGAACTAAAGTTGGATCAGGTTTTTCCAATACATACAACCAGATGTATCGTAACAGGAAAGAGCAAACAAAACACACGGGAACACTAAAATAAATAATTAATAAATAATATTTACTTACAATTAAATATAAGAAATCAATTAACTTTTATTAAAATTAAAATTGGGGAACTTTTAACTTCATAAAACAATAACTTAAAGAAACAAAGTAAAATTTTTCCTATGAATATATCATTAATTAACACTCTCTCTCAGTGGCGCGGCAGCCCATAGAGGGCCAAGGCCTACTGTGCCCATCTCAGTTCTCTTGACCTTGGGCTCTGGGGTGCAGGAGCAGATGTTCCGGTTAGGTGGTCAACCGAATCTGAAACCCCCAGTGTTTAGTTCCCAAGCATGCTTGGTACTCAGTTATCGACCCACTGAAGGGATGAAAGGCTGAGTCAACCTTGCCCGGCCCGAGGATCGAACCCAGGACCTGTGGCACGGGAACGTGAAGCGTTACCACTCAGTCACCAGGCGTCATCATTAATTAACATCAAACATACATTTAAAAATAATTACAATTTCATCTTTCTCAATAATTCTACTCAATAACAAACTAATTTTCAGTTTTTGACAAAAAATATTTTTCTGTTTAAATAGTATAGAAACAAAAATCCAATTTAGAAACATATAGAAAATTGCTTCAGAAACAATAGTAGACTTTATCACTTTTCAATACCTATCAAAATGAATAATTGATCCAATATTTTAACCCACTGGCGGTTAAGGAAATGGGCAAAATTGGGAGAATGTTTCTCCCCTACACACAGTTCCCCTATCAGTTAACATGGGAAAACCGGTTTTGCTATGCAGAGAAGACTGCAGGTTAAAATGCAACTTTTTACGTGCAGAACCGTCAGTGGGTTAAACAAGTCTTCTAATTAAAATTTAATATAGGCATCATATTAATATGCAGATTTATTTTTTTTGTGTAATTAGTAATAGGTGCAATGCCCAAAATAAAAAAGTGAACACCCAAATAAACTTTTAATCTAATAATAGAATTTTCATATACTAAAACATCATCTTAATGATTTGAGAGAAAAAACCTTAAATATGCTGATTAATTAGAATAGATATTTTAAGTCATTAGATCAGATTGAAAAATGAGCTTTTTTTGAAAAATGAGCTGACCTTCATTTTTATTTTGACGGATTCGATTCTAGAATCTCAAAATATGGAGGGAAGCTGCAATCTGGATAATATGGTGTCTATAGCTTGATCAGAAGAGCAGTCAAAAGTATAGGTCCTTTAATTTTAATTTTTGCATATTTCACCGTACTTTGAGAGTTTTCTAAGTGAATCACAAAATTTTTACACACAATTATAAAATTTGTTCACCAAAATATAATTGCATGCAAAAATCATATTTAATAATCATTTATTATTCTATTCATTATGAGTCAACAAAATTTTGAATTTTAAGCTATACAAACTTGAACATTATTTTAAGGAATGTAATTTTGAATGGTAAAATACAAAATTTGAACAAAATCGGACGAATCGTTTGTGAGCACTTCAATTTTAAATATATGCATTTTTTAAAATTTGATAATGATGGTCAGGAATTTATAACTCCCCTTAGAAAAAATATAAACTAACAGTAAATGATATCAGCGATAAAAAAAACACCTTATTACTCACATCAACCATAATAGATTAAACTTTTGTTGAAGACTTTTCTTATCAAAAGTTGATAAACATGAACGACGAAATGCTTCTCTGCTAAGACAATGGCAAGTAGAATACAACAGCAGTAGTCTGTAAAGAATGCATACAAATTAAAATTTTTCTTCATTTTGAATTAACTTAATTTTTTCAGCAAAAATAGATTTATATATACTATAAAAATATTACAAGTTTCAATATGAATAATTAAAATTTTTAATGATAATTTGTATAAACGGTCAATTTTTTAGGTTTACGAATATGTCAAGTGTTATGCAGTGGCATGCAGAGAGTAGTACCAAGGGGTAATGCATTAAGCCCAAAAAGGGTATCCATTTGAACTAGTAGAAGGTAAGGGTATCTATTTGAATCTTAGAGAAATCAGTTTTCTTCAAAAAGCACTAGTTTTAAAATTATAAATAAATGAAGTTATTGACCAAATTTTTTAATGGTAGAATATTGGAAAGGGTTAATTTTCTTGATAAAATATCGTGCGAAACGTATGTTTTGCAATGAAAAGCAAGTTTTATATGAACCACGATTTAACTCCTGCCCTTCTCGCTCCCGTGATATTGACGGGTTGGAGTGTTAAGTAGTAACGCGGCAATAAGAACAAAACTAATTCATTTCTTTTGCCCGGAAAACATTTTATTTCTCATTTTACACACCTTATGGCAGTAACAGGATATTTTTAAGGTAATTGCAGATAGTTGGTTTATTTTAAACTAGTTGCAGCACTAATCAAATATGTAATACAAATACAAAAGTAAAAAAAATAGGCACTTTTATGACTATTTTCTTGAAAATTAACCGATTGTTAAAGAGTTAATGATGTTCGTCGAACTGGTAAAAGTTGTAAATACGAGGGTATTGATACATAAGGGACATGGAAATTCTAATAAAAACTAAAATTTAAATGCATACAAATTTAATTATATTTTCTTCAGTATCAAAATAGTTGTAAATACGAGGGTATTGATACATAAGGGACATGGAAATTCTAATAAAAACTAAAATTCAAATGCATACAAATTTAATTATATTTTCTTCAGTATCAAAATACGATCTGATCCTTAAATGTTATGTTTAGTAAAGAAGAAAAACTTACATTATTTTAATAAAATAAAATCTGACAATTTTGTTTGCTTATGCTGTTTTTTTTTTCTTTTTGTCTCAAAGTACACAATGCATTTTCTAACAATTCCATGGCATCCATTTTCCTCTCTTGTTCGTCATGTTTTTGGAAGAAGAAAATTTCCAGTCTCCGCAACATGACTTCTGCTTCATTAAATGGTAGTGATGGACCTGAAGATTTTTCACCTCGTTCATCACAATTAAATTTCATAATTTTAGTTATTGAAATTACCTTTGATTCACAAGTCATCGCATTTTGAATACTTTATAAAGAGGGTATCGACGTTCTCCTAGGACAGAAGTGATCTAAATCTACCTTTTCTGAATACTTTAATGATTTAGTCTTTAGACACATTTTTAAAGTGCAGAATAGTTAGTTTAAAACATCTAACACATTTTACTTTTTCGTTGGATATTAAAAGTTGTACAAGACTAACTCTTTGATATTTCAGTGAAATAGTATTAGAGGACTCTCTACATGGAATTTTTTACAATATTGATCTCGGAAATGAAAGTCGGCCAAGCTTAAATGATGTTAAAAGTGAGAAATTGTTATTAGCTTTTAATGTTAAATCCGAATTCCACTGTATTTTTTAAATGAGCTGATTTAAATTATAAAAATTATGAGGAATCTATAAATGGACTCAAATTTCTACTAAAAGAACTTATGTTAATAGTCTGTTGATCAGTTAAAATTATCAAAATAATAATTATTTATAATTTATAAAACAGCTTCTTTCTTTTCTTAGACCGCATATAATGAAAATCGAACATATTTTCAAAAACATAACATGCATTTAATACTTACCTTACATTAATAACTCCAAGAGCTTCACGGCAAATAAAACGAAAGATGATAGCATTTGATAATGAAGATATAATTCGAACTAAAACCTACAAAAGAAATTTTTTTTTATTTTACAAGATAAGGTACCATAAATTAAAATTTTTCCCCTCCCAATTTTAAAGCATTGTATGTAAATATGTAAATGAATAATTATAGAATTTTTCCGGTTATTTTTCTTCAACTGCTAATGATTAATAAAAATAAAGCAAACTAATACAACATATAGTCTGTCTAAGCTAAGAACTCCGCCCGCCAGAAAGTCTGAGGTCGTCTGGTGCTATGGAAACAAGAATGGCGCATTTTATGGAGGGTAGCTTCACTCTAGGAAAGAGATTCCTTTTCTCTTGCCGACCAGAGCCGAAACCAGTCCAAAACAGTGACCCCGCACCCCTACTTGAAATAGTCATACCTCGTTACCATAGTCACCACCACAGGTCCAGACGAATGTCTGGAGGAGTTCTTGTTTTAGACAAACTATAGCTAACATTTCAGAAATCTAATAGTATCAGTAACACTTAACACCTTTGATTTAGCAGCAAGTATGAAAATAATAATCATCTGGCCACTTGCTTAACATAATATGGTAGTGTTTACTTTCATACCAGTTAGCATAATTAAAATTTATCTATATGATAGGCAAAGTAAGAAATCTTAAAATATTGTACTAAAAAGGTCAAACACCAAGAAAAATGCACAAAAATGTTGGATTGTATAGGTCAACACAGAAGTATAAGAAAACTATGTCCTGCACTATATAAATTTAAAAAATAGAGGTTGAAAAAACTATGAGGATTGTTTGTAATATTTCTGACAAAAACACATTATATATGAAGATTATTAAAAGCAAGGTTACAGAAATTCAGCATAACTTTAACTTTCTTGTCTATAGTGCTGATTTTGGCAAAAATAAACACTAAACGTGTTATTTCATAAGAATTAGATTTATAAATATTTTTGTCTAAATCTTTCTTATGCAAAGAAATTAAGAGAAAATATTAATTATTTACAATAAAAACTACTTTTAAACCATTGATTTTGCTTTTGAGAAGCAAGCTTTCGATTCAAATTGTAAAAACAAAAATATATGTAAACTTCACGACTATTTATTTATATTCCCTAGAAATTTCAAAATAAAATTTATAATTCTTTATGTCGAGATGAATAAATTTTGAAAATCAGGTGGAGAGATTTCCATATCATGACTAGTGGCAGAATAATCACCAAGTTTTGTCAATTTCTGGCAGGGTTCGTTGATTTAAATCAGCTTGATTTAAATCACGATTTAAATCTTGATTTAAATCAAATGATTTTTTTAAAAAAAATCATTGATTTAAATCAACTGATTTTTTAAAACATATATATATTGATTTTAAAAGTTAAAAAACAGTGTTTTAAATTATTGATTCTCTTATTATTTTCTTTTCTTAGTCTTAAAATTTTTTTTAAATAGCTGCATTAATTAATTTTAGTTAATGAAATTACCTTCTTTCTTGGGTGTGTGTTAAATTCCAACACACTTAAAATTACATTTTTAAAAATCTTTTTATTCTTGAGATTGAAAGTACAGATTAAAGTAAACATTTAATGCTGTCTTAATATAGACTTGCAAAGCTGTAGAAAGTAAATATTAAACATGAATTTTTTAAAAAAAAAAATTTCAAATAATGCTAATTAAAATTCTACCTTTTCATTGAAAAAGCATGGAATTAAAATCTACATTATATTTTATTGGTGGAAAGTGTATATTTCGAAAGCTTGCAGTTATGTTAAAAAGCAATTACCCTAATATACCAAAAAGAGAAGAAAAAAAAGGCTGATGAATTCAGATATTTTTTTCCTGATATAGTGTTATTCTTCCCTTTCGAATTCTTTCAAAGTCTATTTGAAGCAGTAGGGTTATTAACTGGTATTTTTTTTCCTCATGTTTACAGTATCTTTGACATTATCAGATTTTCTATAAAGAAATTGTGTAAGAAAAACAATTTCCAATGAGTACACAGATTTGTTTTAAATATTTTTTTAGGTTATCTATTTTGATGTAGGATTAAAAATGAATATTTTAAAATAAAAATATTGATTAAATATTTATTTATTTTTTGATGAATGACTACATTTATAAACACAATCTGTTACATTTATTTTGTCATTTCAAAAATCAAGAGGAAAAAAAATCATAATTTTAAATTAAAATTATGGTTTGCTAATTGAAACTTTGTTTTAATAGTTAAAATACAGGGATCTGTCCAAGCCCAATTTACTACCGTTTAGCGGTACCTTCAGAAATTCAACTCTAGGAAAAACAGTAGAATAATTTAATAAAATACATTTCTGCAAATTTTATTTCTGTGTCTCATAAGAAACTATAAATCCATATTTATACCATATTTTTGTGTTGATTTCTTAATATAATTTTTAATTTTCACAAATTATGTCTAAATTTTCACAAAATAGGTACCTCTCAGAAAAACCTAGACAGAAAGTCTGAAGTATCCTTTAAATTCTCTATTTCATCTAGTCTTTAAATTTCCCTTATGCATTTGTTTCAAAATGGTTGCTATGCATTCAAAGCTATGTATTATAATGAAAATTATTTTAGTAAGTTAGAGCTTCTAAAATATTGTTATAATATAGTTTTAATATTTATTTAATTTGATTAAACAGTTAAAGTTTTTTAAATCATAAATTAAAGTTTTTACAGTGTATTTGAATAAAAATAAAAAAAATCTGATTTAAATCAAAAAAATCTAAATTCTTTTGATTTTTTTTTGAAAAATCAAAAAAATCACGAACCCTGATTTTTGGACAGCGGCCTGCAAGAAACTAATCAAACCCCTGAGCAAATATTTATATGTTTTTTTTTTTTTTTTTTTTTAATTTCAAGTTTAAAATCTATTTGGCACCTTGGTGGGTGTAGTAGGAACGACAGATCACGATACGGAAATATCCCCAATTAGGTGGGCTAAGAACCATATTTTTCTCCCCAATCAATACATCCTCACTAGTATGGGGCCAGGATAGCCTAGTTGATAGGGCACTGGGCCAATGTCCAAGAGGGCATGGGTTCCATCCCCCTCGACCGAAGACTCCCAGTGTAGCAAATGGTAACTGATGCACGTTAAATCTGTCGGGTCACAAAGTCCTCCATGTTCTCATAACAAATCAAACCTCTGGGGGTACTGATCCAAGAGTCTTCTGGATTGGTTCAAATATACAAGGCTACAGAGATGAACATTAGCAGTTGTAAACCCAAAATTGGGTCGGCTGTTTAACAACGGTTATAAAATATAAAATCCTCATTAATATCCCTGCAGTCTTTTTCACTATACTATTGTTTCCGACTTTCAATTTACCTAGTAACTAAAATAAACCAAGAATATATATTCAATTGTATATGGTACCAAGAGTAAATACGTACAATAATATGTTGAATAACAAATTCAGGTGAATAGTAATATAACATAGTACCGAGAAAAAAAATAATACAAAATTGCTTTTATATCAATATTAATTTTAGTCAATATCAGTCAATCATTAAAAAATTACTTCTGCATTATCTATAAGCAAAAATATTTTGAATGCCATATTACCTGTAATATAATATTACAAGAAGCCGATAACAGAGCAACACTTATAACTTTATCTTCTGCCATTACAAATACCTACATTTGACTACTTTTAAGTTAATAATGCGTGAAAGCAATATTTCAAGGGGAACTTGACACGTATCATATTTTGCAGAGAGATACAAATTTTAGAGAAAGTTTCAAAGGAAATGTTCTGTAGAATAACTGCAAGTTCTAAATATAAACCAGCTGGTAAAAGAAAACAAAGCAGACTCAACGCTGATTGATTGATGTGTAAGGTAGTTTTGACTTATTTCTGCTTTACTCAAGATTCCATAACAACAATTTTAATAACAAAATACTTCCCAAGTGACGTCATATACTAATAGTTGTTGAACTGATAAATGAAGACTGAGGAGAACAATGGTTTCTGTCAAAGAAATCTGATTCCGAGAAAAACAAACTTGAAGGTTTGAGATTTTTAAGAAGCAAGATCTCGATTGAAATTGTAAAAATAAAAGATACATAAATATCACGACCATTTATTTACATTCCCTAAAAATTTCAAAACAAAATTTAAAATTTGAAAAAATAAAAAAAGTGTATAGTAAAAAGTTAAAAATTAAATTTTGAAAATCGAGTGAGCCGTATTTTCCTCAAAATTTCTTCCCAATCAATACACCATCACTAGCATTCCTACAGTCTTTCCCACTATATTTTCTTTGTTTTTCTTGTTGGTCCATATTCACATTTTAATAACTCGAGTTATTTTCTGCTCTTCCCGAGATCACGAGGAGGACAGATTTTCTACTTTGTTGATGTATTAAAATCTAGTAATCCTCAAACTACAACAGAAGTATTATTATTTTATTGAAAAAATACACATATGATTCTCCCCCTCCCTTTCATCAAATGTGTAATCTCAGAGCAATTCATTTCTTTCAGTGAAAGCATTTCAGTTTCCATTTGATCCATTAGTACAAATTAATTAATAAAATATTTCCTCAATATTGATTAAAAAAACGCTTCAGATATCTGCAGCATAGTTGTTTCTTTATTTTCTTTAATATTATAATAAATAAAAACGGATAAAAACTTGTTTCGTTAATAAGCAGAACACAAAACTGCAAACGTAACTACTATGAATAACTTCCTATCTGATAAATGAATTTTCACGCATCATATTGCACTATCCTATTCCAATAAATCATGTAAAGGATATTTTAAATTAAGAAAGCAGACGCAAAGATCCACCAACATAAGTAAAAAGAATTTTTACACTTTTTATGTCGGATGCGCCTTTTTTAGCTTTTAGTTGATTTTAGGTCACACTAGAGCTGCACAATGGGCTACTGACGACGGTCTGGGAAACATTCCTGAGGATAATCCGAGGACATGCCATCACAATTTTGATTCTCTGCAGAGGGGATGGCATCCTCGCTTCGATAGCCCGACGATCTGCACGCGAAGTCGAGCACTTTACGGTAGAACAGTTTAACGAGGACCAATACCGCACATCCTCGGTTCCTACGCAGACTGATCCAAACGGTCAACCACCCGCACACTGACCGCACTCACTGATGCTTGACTTCGGTGATCTGCTGGGAGCCGTGTCTTAACGATCAGTCCACTGTGGAATGTATGTGCCTTACGAGACAAACTTATTGCTTGAAGTTTTGAACTTCAGGAGATATTTTGAGTTACGAAATACTGCGCAAAAACCGTACTTTTTCTAAATAATCATATCTCTGCACCATAAATTGACATTCAAATTATTCTATTTTAGCCACAATCTAGAACGTGTGGTCTTAATAGTTTCATCGAGAGAGCGGACTATTGTTCAGATCTGTTACAATATTGATTAAGTTTTTGCTTATTTCGACGTAAGCTAATAAAAAAATATTCCACTCACATTTTTAAGACTTATTTTATCCAAAGATAATTTGAAGCGAAAATTACTTATTATAGTTTCAATAATTTCATTAATATTTAATAATAGTCAAGTGCTCTTGCAATAAAAAAAAATATTTAATAGTTATAGTTATCGAAAAACATTTGAGTCATAGGATGCATAAGTGTTTCCTCTTAATTTGAACTATGCGATTTTAAAAAGTTGAATTGCGGTGATCCAGGCCAGTCAAATAGTTTAGAGGATCACGGTCGCGAGGCAACTACGCGCAGCACCAGAAGACCAATCAATTGTGGACTCTCAAGCTCAAGTACAAGCCCAAGAGACGCACGAGCTGGAGTCCCACAATCACGTCCAAGAGCACAGGAGACCAGTCGAAGCACAAATCTGCAAGTACAGAATCCACATTTATTGAACATTTATTGAATAACATTTATTGAATAGTATTTATTTTTGAAGTGAATATTGGAGGAGATTGTTGGTTAGTTATGAAATTTCAAACTTATTTACAATAAAGTGCGGATCTAATTTTAATTTTCGTTTGCCACGGATTTACCCGAAATTGTTATGTACGTGGTGACAAATATAATAATCTAGATATTTAAACGTTATAAATCTAGATAAAGAAAGAAATATTTTTGATTAAATTCAATGAACAATGACTCAATGATTTTAAAGAGAAATTTCTTGTATAACCGTTGCTTTCAGTTTTTTATTTATTAAAAATTGGAAAAGTATGTTTATTTTATTTTCAGATAAACAAATATTACTACAAGTGCTTTTAGTTCCCTTTATTTCTAGGAACATTAGATTCCATGCATTTATATGAAACTTAATATCATTCCTCTTATCATATATGTCCACAATGGAGATATTCTTCTTCTTTTAACATTTAAAGCTGAAACATTAAAAATAATATTATCGAAATAATATATTATGAAGCAAAGTTAATTCCTTGGGGTAAATATTATTTAACATAATTATATAATTTTTGAATTTAAAGGTATTTAAATCATCAATAAATCTAAAAATAAATTTTATATTATTCATTTTAGTGTAAAAATAAGTTTGCCAGAAGTTACGAAAAATAAAAACCTTGCAGTATTCTATCTTTCTGAATAAAAATTTTTTCTCCATTATTAAGATAATTATTAAAAAGACACAGATTAATTAGAATTTCCCAGCAATGAAAATCCACAATTTAGGATATTTCTATAATCTTATTAATAATTCAAAGGAACGTATTTTAGTTTAGAAAGTGGAATGTTATTAAGAAATCCTATAAAATCAACTGTCACAATGGATTTAATTTTGTCGTGTATAATAAAATCTAATATATGATGATTATTTGTAATAATCCCAGAAAAAAATATTTTTAATAATTTTATTTAAGTAGTTAAAGAAAATAGTTAAGTAAGATTAGACGCTCAAGTGATTGTTCTAAATTTAATAGGTATTTAACGAAATATTAAATATGGAAATTGTACCTAATTGATTTTAGTTTTTAGCCTCTCAAAGAAAGCTAAAAATTTTTAATGGTAATATTATAATTTAAATTCCAAATTTTAAAATTTTTATTATTTATTAATTTGTTATTTAAGAGTTCAACGTAGAATTTTTACTAAAGATAGCGTAATTTTTGTTAGCTTTGTCTATGTGGGTCACTACAAAATTCTTTTGAAGTTGCTGATTAGCATAATCAGTTTAAAAAAAGTTTATAATAAGCTTGTATATTTATATAAGCAATAAGCTTGTATTTATAGAAGCAATAAGCTTGTAACTTGAATTGATTACTTTAGTTGTTAATTTTAATAACTGCATAAAATTTCGTTAACCTATAGTAAATATTTATGGGGATATGGAAATTAAAATTTTTTTTTTTTTTTGCTTTACGTTTTTTTGCTATAACTTAATTAATATTAAATGTAATTAAACAAAAATTTTGAAGCAATTTAAAATTAATAACAAAATTATTAATTATAAATTTTGAAAAAGCTAGTTAAACACTACGCAACATATAAATATATAAGGTGGTTCTTTTATGCTGCGAAATTCCAGAAGAAATTTAAAAAAGTTGCTTCATAATTTTATAGTGAATCGTTTTTGGCAAGTAATGAAAAAAAAAAATTTAATTTATACATCTTAAAAATTTAAAAAGTTTCAATCAATTCTCTAAGTAGTTTTTATACTTCTTAAAATAAAACTCAGAATTATCAGGGGTTTCCAACAAATTTTATTTTGTATCATATGACAAAATTTAATAACAAATAATACCTTGCAATAATCGTCCGGAAGCAAAAATGTGATGGTATAAGGAAAGAAGAAATGCTATAGAAAACATACTTTTATGTGAGATGATCCCCCACATTGCCCCACAATCTTGTTTAATAGTACAAAATGAAATTTGTGAACTCTGATCGTTTTGAGTTATCTCTTAAAATGTACAAACATTACTTAAAAAGTTGCTTGAAACTTTTTAAATTTTTAAGATATTCAAATCAAACGCTTTTCATTAGTTGCCAAAAACGATTCACTACAAAATTATGAAGAAAAGAAAAACATTAAAAATTTTCTTTACGCATGCGCAGTATTAATTAATACTGCGCATGTAAAAAATACTTATATCTTGCGCAGGTTTCAACGGATTTTTTTAAAATTTTAAATTAATAATTTTGTAATTAATTTTAAATGGCTCCAAACATTTTGTTTAATTCTATTGAATATTTATAAAGTTATAGCCAAAAAAACGTAAGACAATTTTTTTTTCTTTTAAACATGTCCGTATCTTCATTAATGCTTACTCTAGGTTCAGGAAATGTTATACGGCTATCAAAAATAACTACTAAAGTAATCGATACAAGTTACAAGTTTATTGCTTCATTTTTTTTGGCATAGGGTGTTCAAAAATGCTTTTTTTTTCCGTAATTTATTGCCGGCCTCCCAAACCTCTGAAAGTTTCAAATCTTATTGCGAAATATGAAAAATTGCATAAACTAAACATCTTTTAAGTTATAAAATCATCCATGATGTATTTTTTGGGAAATTTAAACAAAATATCGAAAGTTGAAAACTGAAAGTGTCTTTTCTGTCTTGAGAGGTATGGAGGGAGGGAGAGAGAGAGGGGGGGGGGATGGTGTAGAGATAAAAAAAATTTTTATTCGCCATTATAAACAATAAATTACAACTCTTTTTCCCTTAGGCAAACTTGCGTTAAACACTAATGCTAAAAGGCGCTCTTAGTGTTCTTGTAATGAACAGTTTGCGTGACGAAATTTAATTCGTTGACTTTTCTTTTGCAAGCAGCTGTGCATTGCGCACATTTCCATTTGCTTTAATGCACATAGACGTTAAGATTGTTGTACGAGAGATTTAAGAGGAAAATGAATTGTTTTTGGAACATCTGAGAAATTCACTTAATTAAGGTTGATTATATTTGGTGAAAGATTTCATCAAAAGTTCCAGTGTTTG